AATCACTATCTATCATTACAGCATACAAAATGAATTTCCCTGCATGGAAACACTATATATTAGTCCAAAGATACTACCAAACATGTTATCATCAACAGTTAATTTTCCATTTTTGTGTCCCTTAAGTGTTTTGTTTCTTTCTTTTCCCCCTTGATTCCCTCCCCCTCGCCTTCCCCCTTTCTCCCACCCTGTCTCTAGTATCCACATTTCTCCGTGCTTTTTCCTTCCAGTCTTTCAGTTCTTGCTATAGAGTGCATGCATGTGGTATATATTAAGTGGTTATTGATTGGTTGTCTACGGTATGGAAGAGTTTTCCCATTTCATTCATTCATTCGTGTCAGTGCATTTTGTGTGTTTTTATACTCTTCAGTAGGATATAGTTCTTTATTACCAATCTGACACTAAAAAATGCTCAAGGTTTGATTAGTGGAAACTCCTTCAAGAAACGGACACCTGCAGCTACTCTGTGCGCTGTAGGAGGGTTAGATGTAAGTCTCGATCTACTTACTCGCCATTCACGGAAATGCCTGACACAGCTCGCCTGCCCCTTTCAACAATCTTGTGCAAGCCAGCTCATTAATTGTGTACTGATACTGATACTGCGGGATTGTTTGTTTCTTTCTTTCTTTTTAGTGGATTTCATTCCAGGTCTTTTTTTTTTTTTTTTTTTACAAAAATGTTTGTCTAAATACCAGCTACATAATGAAAACAAAAAACAAACAAACAAACAAAAACCAAATACTGTTGAGTGCCCACGACTGGTAAGGATCAGTCCTGAGGCTATTCGAATGAACAAAGCAGAAAAAGAATTCCCTGTCCTCGTGGAACTTGCATTCTAGTGCATGGGGGACAAAGGGAAGAAATGAAAAAGTAAGCGCACAGCATAGTGCAAGGAGCCTTCACAAATTCATGGACGTGTGTTACAGAAAAGGTACGCATGGACTTCACAATCTTCTTGTACCAAAATAAACTGGACATTTCATTTTCCCACAAACTCTTTGAAGGTCCTTCATACCTTAGAAGGAACTGAATGTTGAAGAGAAAAAGAAAAGCAAAGATCAGCCTCAGGAAGGGAGTATTACGGTTAGAAAGGTGTCATCAGACAAAGCCTCTTTGGTAGGTGTCGTCTGAGGAAAGACCTGAAGGGCCTCTAGGGAGCCAAGCTGTGCGGATATCTGGAGGAAAACTCTTCCAGGAAGCACTCAGCACTCTGAGCAGCAGAAACAGTAGCTATTCCTGAAGATGGGATCGAGGTAACAAGGTGGCACTTTCAGTAGGATTACTCAGTTTTCTGAATTGACTAGGAGTTTGTTGAACCAAGCTGCCTTAAATCCCCATAGTGCACACCCCTACGGCATTGAGACATCTATAAAAGCATGTATTTATATGATGATGGCTTATCCAATAAATTTGTCATCTTGTAAAGGGGAATTCCTATACAAAGGACACAAGGCTCAGGTCCAGCAGATGGTATAATGTTTATGTCACTGGACCCCCATGTAGTTGACTGCAGTTCAAGTCCCGGACCTGGTAGCTTAAAACTCACTCTCGGCACTTGTATATGCATGCCCAAAATCTCAAGAGGAGAATGGAGGAAAAGGGAATGCACCATAGCCATCCCCCGGGCAGTGATTTCTCGCATTCTGTCTCTATGTCTCTGTTTCTCCAGTAAGCCGATGCACCCTATTAAAAAAAAAGACATGTGGCTCTTAAATTATCAATCTTTTTCTATTCATATACAGCATTTAAACTATACACATACACAAGGGGTCTCCAAGAGTTCATGAAAAATGCAGATTATGAAAAACAATGCATACATTTAAATTTTTTGCACTGACGTAAACTAAAACTTAAATTCTGTTTTCCAAGAACTTTTCTAAGTACCCTGTGTGTATGTGTATGTATAGACAGGTGGGTAGAGAACAATGAAAAAGGTGAGCAGTGGAAGTCCCATGCAAGAAGGCCGACTTACAGACCACACTAGGCTGTGTGCTAGACCACAGCGTCGGCATCGTGGTCCTGAAATCACTGCCATTACTAGTTCACAGTTGTTATTAGCTCACAGCAGTTCTAGAAAAATGAATCAGCCATTTTTTTTTTCCAACAGGAATGGGAATACTCCCTTGTCATGCTTTCTCTAAGGTGGAAACATTTAAATGCCATCTGTGCTTTGTTTATAAAGATACATTTTTGTCTGCACCCAAATCAGAGCTTCTCTTCCCAGTGTTCTGTCCTCACATGTCCTGAGTCTATATTTCTGATGACAACTGCTTGTCTCCACCCCTCCTTCCTTGGCATGCCACAAGAGCCAACCATTTGGCCTGAATCTGCCTGAATCATGAAGAAGGCAAGTGTAGTCTGGTCACAGAGAACATGGACAGTATTTCACTGCCATGGTTCCGATTGACTCGTCTGTGATCTTATGCTGTAACACCTGCCTCTACAGGTGTGTGAAGAGCTCTAATTAACATTTGTAAAACTCTCCGATTGCTACAGATAGAAGGTGGCAGGAAAGGGCAAATTATTATTAATCGTGAGGGAAAAATGGAGAGAGACCGTTGTTCCTTCACCAACGAGAGACCTGCACCCAGATACTACATGCGTGGTAGGAGGGTTAGATGTAAGTCTTGATTTACTTACTTTGCACTTATGGAAATGCCTGACGCCTACTTAATGCATAGCTCCTACTCCGTGTTGGCCTGATACTCACTATGTTCCACTGCGGGTTCCTAATGCTGTTTAAGTTATTACTGAAAGGCGTCTCGCTATTCACAATGAGTGTGAGAGTTCATCTAATTAGCTGATTTCAGTTCATTTGGCATTAAATAATTCCCCAAATTCCCATATGTTTGAACAATATGTTCAACAAGGGGGATGGTTCTCTGAAAGCAATTAAATCGTTCTTTCAGGAGAGCCTGTCATCGGTCACTCGTAAGCACCGGCTCCTCCTGTCCGTGGTGAGTCAGGCAACAATTACACAGACAGCTCTTACCCTCTCTGATGGCCACTGGCAGCCGTCCTCAT